GCAAAAACATATCTGTAAAAAAAATAATAATATTGCAAGATAAGTTAATAAGCAGATTACTTATGTAAGGAAGACCTATAACTTTATTTTATCTGTACTCATGCACTTCACTGGAAGATCCTTAATAGAAATTGGGATATACAGTATCCATAGATTCCGCTTTATTCAGTTTAACAACACATTTAACTGTATATGAGCCACAATCATACATTGTTGACATATTTAAAGAAATAAGTGAGCATATGTAAAAAACATTCTTACAGGCAAGTGAATTACCAAACTGTTTTGAGTGGCTTTAGATTTTAATTATATCCTTGAATAGAATTTCTGCTAGGCTTATAAAACAGCATTGGTAATTATACACTTGTTTCTGATAGAAACAATTGAAATATTCCAACATAATTCAATAAATAGAATCTTATAAATTATTTAAGGCAATTTTTACTGTTATTTCACCCACTGGTTAATATATATATTTTTTTAATGTACCATTGCAGTTGTTCAAATGTGTTTAAACTTTAATGTTCCAAGAATTTTTTGTTCTTCTGAAATTCTGCTTGACAACATTTTTTAATGAGGATGAAAGTGCAGATTATAATGGATTTTAACTTAATTTGTTTATTCTCTCAAAAATAGGTTACTTAAAATTTTATTCTGTCATTTTATAAATTATATAGCTTCTTTAATCAGAGCTTGTTTTTTTTGTTCAGATTGGAATGTTACTTTAATCTGAAAGAAGCTAAACTGATCTGAAAAAAATATTTGTAAACAACAATGTTAAAGTTAACAAACCTGAAAACTGATTTTTTGGTTCTTTTGCAGCTTCAGCAACAATTTCTGAAGGGAGAACTGAAAGATCAGCTTGACCCTAAAAATAAATAATTAACAACAAATTCAAATAAGTGATATAAAAGTTTAAATTGTCAAGCAATAAAAAGATTCAGATAAAAAGATTTATTTAACAAACCTCTCCCTCTCCTCGATATATATATGAGAGATTTTTTACTCGAGCTAAATCATTCTCTAGTTTTTCAATAAATGCATTCTTTTCTTGCAAGAGTGTGATAAATTCATCATTTTCTATTTGTAATTTCTTTAATTGTGCTGGAATTATATAAAGTTTTAACTGAATATGCATTCATTTTATGCAATATAATATAAATTTTAAACAAAAATTCATGAAAATATTCATGAAAAAAAAAAATAAACATACTTTAAAAATAAATTAATACTGATAAAAGCATGTATATTATATTATCAAAATCTTTTAATATCAAATAATTTTAAACATTATTTCAGATTTTAATTTTTATTATGATCAGATTATATAAATAATAAATAATTAAACCAATTTTATGAATCATATTAAAGAAGAGTACCATATTTTTCTTATTTTATCATATTTTTTGAAGTATTATGGAATCATTTTATGTACTTTTATAAATATAATAATTTAGTTTATTGTTTTATGGGTATCTGATAATATTCTAGTTTTCTTTTAAATATTTCAATTGATTTCTGAATAATAAAAATAAAATGTATATTAAAAAATCTTTCATATAATATTACAATATCAGATTCTGAATTATCATGCTTAAATAATTAAAGGACTTTTTTAAATGCTACATTTTAAAGATTATATATAAAGGATAATTGTTATTAATTGACAAATCATTTAATATATAACTTGGATTAAATTCTTTTGAACTGACAAAAATGCTTTCCAGAAATTTTCATTTTTTACTCATTCTTATTCTAGAAGTTGTCACAATGTTTGAAATTTAAAATTTAAAACGTAAAGAATATCTTAGTTATAAATAAAGTCTAATGAGTTTAAAAAATTGGAAAATTCATTTTGTTATAAAAATTTTACTTCATCTTATTTAAGATAAAATACTAAAAGAATTTTCTACCATGATCTGTCTGATAGAGTAAAATTTCCAATATTAATTCAATTCTAATTTCATTTTTAATATATTAAACAAATTTTAAATAAAAAAAACTTTGGAGTATATAAAAGGAGAAAAACTTAAGAAAGAGTTTTTATAAAGAGAGAGAGTGAAAATATATGTATACATTGCAGACTATATCATATTATATAAACAATTTAAGTGAAGATTGGTTGGAATTATGGCTGTCTTAACAATGATTGGTTGGAGGAATCAAAATAAGCATTTATATGTCTATTCTGCTGTTATTCTATTTCCTTAATTAAGTGCATAAAAGTAATAAAATAATAAAAGTAACTTGTATCATAATCTTGTAATTATGAAATTGTTCCTCTTCTAAAACAACCTATTATTATTGTAATTACTTCCAGTTCCTTCTGTATATTTATTTTATGTAATTAGCATTTTTAGCTAAAATTAAATATGTTACTTTTCAATATACTGTAAATATACAATATTAAAAAAATGAATGCATGAAATATCTTAAATTTATATTAGATTTGTCATTGAGAAGTGATCAAAATCTTTGAGAAAATGATAAATACAGGTAATAGTCATAATGATCTGAAACAAATTTTAATTTTCTATTAATATATTTATTGTAAACATATAATATAATAAAAGATGGATAAAATGATTTTTTTAGGAAAATTCCTTATGTAAACTTTTATACAAATTTATATTAATATTAAAAAAAAAGATAAGAAGGATTGCTAAATAGCATAGAATATGATTCATAAAATATTTAAAAGAACTTAATTCTTTTGATGAAAAATATATTGTAATATAACACAATTTAAAGTATTTGATAAATATAATTGATACATGCTAAAAAATATTTGTGACTGAAAACATTCTAGAGATAAAAATTTTCCTTTTTTTTTATTTGATAATTTTTTGTACTATATTATCATTAACTTTTTAATACTTATACAAAAACTATCTTAAAAGAAATTATATATTTTATTAAATAAAGCTTTTTGATTTCTAAATAGTAATCATATTTAGCTAATGTTTTTCTAAGATAACTAAGAAACTAAAGAGGTGGGAATTCAGAATTGTTTTTCTTTAATTACATCTACAGCAAAGTTTTAATTTTTATACAATTTCATTATTCTATAATAGTATTAATCTGAATTTACATTGTAAGAAAAATATATGTATTATTATGCATTTAAATATAAAATAACTAGTAACACAAAAAAAAATTATATTATTTATAGATTATATTTTAATGATCAGTTAATTGAACTGGAAAATTTTATATGTTAAACATTTAATGACTTTTACATTAGCCTGGGAGTGATTAGTTATGGAATTGGAAATTTAATCGTTTTAATTTTTTTATATTTTATTTATTTAAGGATAAATTATTTTTAAATAAGAGTCAAAAAAACACACTTATTTAATCTGAAGATATTTTCTGATCAAAATAAAAAGTATTTATATATTAAAATAAATTTTTTAAGTAGCTTTTGTACAAGTATAGAATTTTACGCATTCAATCAAATATTTTAACACTGATATTTTTTTCATATAAGTGCACATTTACAATTTTATATTGTGAGAATTCAAAATTTAGTCATATTTAATTTATCTGAAATGATTAAAATAGAAAAATTTTATTTTTAGATTATTATTTCAGCTTTAATATTTATTATTTAAATGTCAAAATGAAATTATACAATCACCATCAATAACTCATTTTTGAGTTACACGAGTCATGAAGATTACAAGGTGGATTGTTAGTGCATTTCTGAATCATTTGTACTTGAATACTGCAATTTTTTGATGCAAGAAAGATTGCATTGTGCATCAGCTATAATCAAAAATATTTTCTATCATATTAAAATAATACAGTTATAAAAAATAATCAAATTGATTCGTTTGATTAATGATCCTATTCCTTCTTTCAAATAGCCTTCATTCTGTTTGAAAGAATACAGATCATTATTCTTGTGAATCTATTAATTATTTTTAATTTTGATTGATAATAATCAAATTTTAATAACTGTGATTTACAGTAAAACTTGTTTATGATAAATGATAAATAAATAAATAATTTTTTATAATCAAAAAATAAATAAAAACTAAAAATCATTTTTAAAATCAATTTTTTATTAACTCAAGACAATAAAGAAAACATAGTAAAATACATGTTAGGATTGAACAATTAAAAATTATATATAATTATATACATTTGAAACATAAGAACATGAACCATGATTTTAAGTCAATATGTAGTTATATTTTATTTTTTTTTATTGTCATCATTGGTTATTTTTGTATGTCAAAAATAGTTTTTAATCATTCTCTGTATTTATATTGTAAAAACTGTGAATATTTTCATGAGCTTAGTAAACTTTCATGCATTATTTTAATATGATATGCGTATTTATTGTATTGATAAATTATGTATTATTTTTATTTGTAAAAATTCTTATAAAAATTTAGTAAAGCCAAACTTTATGATTTTATGATATTTAAAGGAAAATGTCACATGTGTATTAAAGTTTTTTTTAAATATATTATGTCTGTGTTTAATAATTTATTAATTATATTTAAAATTTGATAATAATTAATTATATTTCCTAGCATATATGAAATAATAAAAAATTTTTTTGATATTTTTTTTGTAATTTTAATTAATAAAATTTAAATTTAAACAATAATTAAAGTTTATAATAATTTTTAAGTAGGAAAAAACAGATTAAATGTATTAAATATTTCCCATGTGATTTTTGTGATATTTATATTATAATGTTATATATATTTTACAGATTTAAATAAAAATGAATATGGTTGTTTTGATGATTTATTTATACAAGTTTTTATTTACAAAATGACAAAGTTATTTAACAATAATATCAACGTAAATAATATTTTGAAATTTTCTTTAAAAAAGTAAGCTTATGGATTTTATAATAAAACTTATGAATAGAATTTTAGAGTATTATTTATTTGATAAAATAATCATAAATAAAAATTTAAAATTTACTCGAAAAATATTTCCGAATAAAAAAAATAAATATTTTTAAGAATAAGTTTAAATTTTAAAATTCTAAAGTTGGTTTGAATAGATAAATATAACGTAAACTATCAAAAATATTAATTTTGAATTAAACTACTCATAGGTTAAAAATTCTATTGGGTTTTCTTGTTTTAAAAAGTCTAAATTTTTATTATAAATAAATTATAATAATAATAATTACATTTCTAATGCGTTCATTTTTTAGTTGCCAATATATAAGGGCTTCCTTTTCTAATATCAATTATTGAACAGATATTTTAGCTTATCAAACTAATGTTTGTGCTTGAAGTGTAAAGTTTAAGTGTTGGTGTAATTTTTATATATATTTTAATAGGCAAGTAGAATTATTTGACCACACACACAAATAAATGTCCAGTTCAAGACTGAGAAGGTCCAACTTTATTATCATTTGAAAGTAGAATAAAAATAGTAATATCAATCTGAATATCAAACATACAGGCATTCATTTCCAGAGCAAGCTTAGAGGACATAAAATGGAGGAAAAAGGCCTTGATAAAAATAGCCTGCATACAAGGCAAAGTTTTTCATAAATACATTGCACTATCTATAACTAGTGACTGCAGAGAAACACTCCACAGCAGAAAATTCCACAAGATTTGCAGATGAAAAACTTTGTTTCTCAGACAGAACAGCTTGGAAAAGGCAAATAGTAGCATTGTAAGCACTGGCATGTTGTTATCAGCAGATACAATGAAATCAGACAGTATGCACAGGAGCCACTTCTCCCGAAAAAGTTAAGAGCAGTTAAGAGCAAAAACTTAGCTATTAGAGAAATGTAATTTGAGTCACAGAAAATCTCTCAACAGAGAGGGATTTATCTACAATATTAAATTCTTCCTAGGAATAGGTTTTTGTTTTTTTTTTTCTAGAATTAGTAGCGTAATTAGGTATAGAATTGACAAGTTAAAATAAAGTAAATGAAGAGCAAATGATGACACTACACTGCTAATAATACTGCTTAAATACAATTCAAAAGCCCCTCCATTTAGTTCCCAATTTTAATGATCAATATAGGTTTTTTTTCTTTGTTGACTATTGTGGGAACTTCACAAGATACACACTTAATAATACACAATATTTTAAACACTGGCCACCGGATGGAGGGTTTAAGACATCTAGTCCATAAAAAAAATTGCCGTAGACATAGGAGCCAAAGGGGAATGAAAAATTATAAAGCAATCACAAAGAGTTAAGCACCTTTGGATTTTTAATCCCTGTAAGAGGAGTGAAGTTATTCTGCCTGATATGGCTGGATATTTTCAATCATAATGATTATTAGTGATGCAACATATCATGTAATGGGCATGATGTACAAAATTATGAAACATTCAAATGTGCCAACATGAAATGGAGGTCCTTCTTGGAAGTCACACGTACTGACCAAATTTTAACAAACACTACACGATACTGAACACATACATACATCTACCAGCCACTTCAGACAGGAGTTCCACTCGTCACCTTATTGATTTAACACACTAACAAATGGCAGCAAACATTGTGGCTGTTTATGGTTTATGCCACATAGTATGGATATTAATAATGATAACAAATAAATGCATTAAATGCATGACAACACTAATACTGTATTACTGATGCAATCACAAAGCATTTCTTTTCTCTGACCATTTCAGATCAATGCCACTTCCCTTATCCAACCGAACTTTGTGATCATGGCACCAGCAATTAAACCACAGTAACTTGTATTCCAAATAGTTCTCCCATTAGAAATCATGTTGTACATTATAATTTCAATTATTGAATACAATAAAAAGCACAGTAGATCAGCAATTTGCATTGTTAATGCTGCATTGCATTTCAATATATGCTGTATATATTATTTCTGTTATAATTACACTGCATTTATTTTTAGAAAATATTTTTATCAAGGATGTGACAAAAGAAAACAATGGTTTCAAATTCATTTATAGCATTACATGCAGAATAATACAGTTTATAATAACAGTAAGAATTTGTGACTAATTGATATTAAAGGATAACATTTTAATAACTACTTTCATATTTTAAAAATGTTATTAAAGATAAAGCATTTCATTTTCTTTTACTCTTAAAACAGATCTTAATAATAAATCAACCCGTCACATGTAAAAATAAGACATTTCTGGGAACAAACTAATGTCTGCAGTTACAAAATAGTATGAATAAATTTTATAGCAAAAACTATAAATCATTTTAATTCCAAAATAAACAATTTATAATTCACACAATTATGAACATTTAACATAAAAGAGACCTACAAAATTTATAGTAAAAACATTTAAAATATAATCTATTGGCAGACTGTTTTACAGTTACAGTAGACTATCATTCTCTCATAAATATCTTGTTTTATATTTTTTCCAACATATAAGAGATTTAAACAATTTTTGTGCTATTTGAAGAATAACAAATTTGTGTTACGGAACACATTCACAATATGTATAACCAATACTTATATACATCACTCATTCATAATGCTTTTGTATATAATAGATTTAAAATTTTTTGCACATCCCATGGAAGATACAAATTTAAGATGGAAGAGAAATGCAGAAATAGATTGATTATTTAAAAGACTAGAAATTAGTGGAAAGCATTAAAATGAAAGAAGATCAATGGACTAGAGTGCCTATTAAAACCCCACAAATTTAAGGGTAAATACTGACACAACACAGCCTACTGTCCACTGGTATTTAGGGTATAAAAGTTACTCCAGCACCGCCTGGTTGAAAGACAAGTGGGAGGCTGAGGAAGGCATCACACTATAATGTGTCTGGAGATTGTAAATTCCCAAAATTGGATAAATAACGAGAGGTTATTAAAACCCCTTAAATAGATCAAAAACAGACAACATTGTCTAAAGAAACATGCAAGACCTACAATTATACACTTGACAATCTGAAGATAACTCAGATAAAACAAACAAACAAACAAATGAAAACATAAAGGGGGGAATATGAAACAATGGCTTTTGATCTTTATTATCCTATACTATGAGCAACAGGGAGCAGTGCACCAATTACATGTATTTACAATAAATATGTCCCAATGAAATAGGACTAAGTGTGAGAAAATCTCACACAAAGACATTAACAAAATTTACAAAGGTGGGTACTATGTCAACATTGAACACAGTATTTGTGCTATGTCCATCCTACATCAACAATTTCACCTTGAAGATGTAAGCTCATTTTTTTTGTTTGTTTTGTTCCAGAGACTGAGAATATCCGAAGCCTATGGCTGGATTTCAAAGGCCATATATGAGAATATCACATCTCGACTTTGTCCTCCTATCTAATGTGAACGCTACTTAAGGCCACACTCACACACCAAATTGTTGCTAATTACTAGCAATCATATCTTCCCAAATTTTTAAATTTCAGCACACTATTATCTTTTAAGAAAAACTATTAAAACTCCCAGTCATCATCTTCTTCTGTCTGTTCGATTCTTTGCTGTAATTTATCAATGTTTGTTTGCCTTTCATCGTCAGTTTCAACCATATCCCAACTTTCATCTTGTTCACTCAGTGACCTCTCCATTCTTTTAATATTATTCTGACGTTCTTCATCATTTCCTTTCCTACTTTCTTCTTTATCTAAATCATCTATGCTTCTGTCTCTAGATAAACTGTTTCCATTTAAGTCTTTACTTGAATTATCTAATATTTTATTATTCATATTGTCATCTGGTGCTGGAGTAGGTTCAATATGAACTGTTTCTTCTTGTGGTATTGGAAGATCAAAACCAACAGTTTGCCGCACACAGACACCATTTATTATTTTATCTTGTTCTAATGGTCCATCTTCATCGTCACTACGCACATCACTGTTTGGTGAAAGCTCTAATCCTGGATCCACCCACTGGGGCATAGCTGGTTTTCTTCTATTACTACTGTTACCTGACACTGTCAATCGAGTTGAAACAGGAAGATGAGGTGATTGAGTTCTACTCTGTTCATCTAATGATTCATGATCACTTCCTTCAGTAATTGTTTGATCTTGTGACAAATTAGAATCATCATTCATTTCACTATTGGAGCGTTCATCAGTACTGCTATTTGGTTCAGTTTTCACATGGAATACCGTAGTACTACTGTTTGAATGATGCTGACTAGACATACTCAAATCCAAAGTTCCCCCATCATCTCCATGCAATGATAAAGGAGAACCATTTCTATGTGAGGTATACACAAGTGACATCCCACTTATAGTAGGATTATAGTGTTCTCCTCTTTCCCTAGATAAATCTGCCAATCTTTGGTTCAATAAAATACGAAACTGCACTGGATCAAAACTTGCACTTTCTCTAACACCTGATAATGATGAATTATTTCCTGTTTCACCCGATTTTGAATCATCTGAATTAGAGTTGTACTGTTTAATTCTCATCCGATGATTGTGAAACCAGTTTGTAATTGTGCGAACGGAAAGATTTAATTCACTTCCAAGAAATTCAATAGTAGATGTGCTAGGATATGAATCCAATGAGAAGGCGAGACGCAGAGCTTCCTTCTGTTCTTCTGAAAATAATACTCTTGGTTTTTTTACTGGAGGATAGGGAGAAGGTGGTGCAAAACTAAAATTAAAAACATGTTTTTCATGCTGGAGTTGAGGACTATCTTGAGAATCATTGTTCCTTCGACGTTTATTAGCTGAAACAAGAAAATAATAGTGATGAATTTTCATCAAACTTGTATGAGAATTTTTAAACTTTAAATTTAGAAAATTCAATCAAAAGAAGCAATTAAAACTATATCTGTTGTGGAAAATAAAATATTTGTATATAAAGCTGTAAGCTTGGTTAAGTTATAAAGAAGTGATAATTAAACTGTCAAATTTAAATAATAATCATCTATTATTTCTGGCGCATCATATTCTTGCTGGTCATGTCTATTTCAGAAAAAATAATTAAATGAATTTTTATCATAACTAAGATAATCACTATTTTAAATAACTTTTAATAATTTGATAATTCAAACAAATTTTTTAATAATTTATAAACAACTAGAAACAAAAGTTTATTTTTTAATAGAAGTAAGTTTGAGTTATCTAATTATTAAAGATATAGAGAAATGAGGATTTTAACTCACTTTAATAAATAATTAAATTAATTCTTTATTATTATAATAAAATAATTAAATTTCCAAATTATCATGTAATTTGTCATTTGACTTTATGTTCAATAAAATTTAAAAATTTAAGTTTTGTATTAAAACAAAATTTCTAATCTCCCCTCTCATTTCTATGCAAGTAATGAAAAAATGATTATAGATTTTTCTCTGAAAGATGACTGCTTATTTAAAATAAGTTTTTGATGTATTTTGAAGTTAATTTAAAAACTTTGTAAAGATGTTATCTAATTGTAAAGATTTAATTGCATTTTTAAATTTAACTTATTAGTATTACAAGCATAACAAACTTGAAAATTTGATACAAAAACTTTAAATCTGCATAGTACTGTATATAAATTCTTTTTGATAAACATTTTTGTTATCATAGGTGAAATTTAAATTTGAACTACATATAACTTAAATTATTTTATGAAATTTTTAAAAATCATTTTATATCAAATAAATGTAAAAATTAAATGAGTACAAAGCAGAAAATAATTCACTACAATTACATATTTGATTCCTAGAATATAATATATGGGATGGTCACAAAGTTCTGACACATTTTGAAACAATATGACAAAGAAGGTAATTGGCCTAAGATGATACAATTTTCAACAATAGAACAACTCAGTTTTTGAGATTAAGTGACACAGGGCACTATAAACCATCTGAAATCAAAATGGCAACATTATAGGAAAAGGTAGTTTATGTTATAGATGTCTGAGACAAATTCAGTGGTTACTGTCTAGAAATGACATAGGAGAAAATAAAGATGCATATTGAATTTATTAAGAGGTAGATATGGAATTTTAAGAAGACAGAATTGGTTGCTGACTGGTCTTGCAGAAGCCAACCATTCATGTCATCTGAGACTATGAAGTGCATGAAGCCTACTAGCAAAGCCCAGAAAATCAAGTCACCATGATCATTTGATTTGCACTTTCCAAAAACAACTGTACTAAAAATTCTACACTTGAAATTGCATGTCTGTAAAGTACAAATTGTCCAAGCCATTCAGCCAAAAAATAAACCTTGACAAAATGAATTTGCACAGTTCATACTTTCATGTATATTGATGAGGACAATCAATACTTAACTAAAGTCTGTTTATCTGATGAAACAACCTTTCATCTATGTGGCAACCTTTCATCAATAACATTTGAATATGGGAATATGAGAATCCTTGCATGGTATATAAACATATTCATGACAGCCTGAAGCTTATGTATAGTGTGGATTGGTTCAAAACAAAATCTTTGGCCTCTTCTTCCTGTATAAACATAATCAATGCAAATGTTTATTTAGATTTGTTTCTTTCCACAACTTCAAGAATTAAAACTTCATGTGACTTTTCTCATTGGAGTTTGAATATTTATGCCAATGTGATTGGCATAAATATCCAAACACCAATGAGACTTTCCGAAACAGACAGATAGACAGAGATAAGTCTATCCCATGGATTTCATCTCTGAATTTTTTTCTTAGGTTATGTAAAAGATCACATCTACACAATACCAATTTAGTTGTTATGAAAAACAAAATTGCTGATTTTATCTAAACTATCACTATAGACATACTCAATAATGCATAGCATGATATTGAAGATCAATTAATGTGTAATGAACAAGGCTGTCAAAAGCTTGTATGGAGCCTGGAGTAGAGCAGGCCGTCCTTTTGCCCTTTTTTTTTTTCTTTTTTAACAAATGAAACACAGATGTTTTTTTATTAATAAAAGTCATTCGTAAAGATTTTTTTTTACTAAAAATAGCATTACGTTTTAGAAGTAAGAATTATTATGGATTCCTAAGTTTTCTCCAAGCCCGGAGAAAAATGCTTCTCCTTTTCAATGGTCCTGGTTGTGAGCTACTAATAGTGTTTGTTTAGAGGTGTATTGTAGCATGTATAAAAACTGAATTGATTTTTTACTACAAATTGTATCATCTTAGTTCAACTACTCTTTATATTATTTCAAAATGTGTGCAGAATTTTATTACGCTTATAGTGATAGTTATCTCTATGTGAATCTTTCAATAATTTTAAATGCAAATAATGTTCATCAAATATAAAGATCACTTTTGTTATATATTATTTTTTAGTAACTATCCTAATTATGAAAACTTTTGTACTTTAATCAACATTTGTGAGTTTTGATATTTTTACATATAGTAGAGCATCGATTATCCGAATCAATTGGGGACTGGGGTTGTTCGGAAGATCAATGTTTCGGATAACTGATTATGTACAAAAAAATATATTAATTTATCCCATCTTGACATTTTTCTCCGTTGCGTGTTGCTTCGCGCTGAATTTTCGTTGATGTTAAATCTGTTTGTATCCTTATCTGTTGACTATTGTATCGTTAAAAATTATTTTTTTATTTTGTACGAACAAAATAAATATATTGAAAAATATAAAAACAATAAAAAATTATACTTCAGAAGTTAATTTAGTATCAAAAACGTAAAATATTTGAGTAGCCCAAGACATAGCCAAAGATTGCAGTGCCACAGCATTGGCAAAAATTTAAATTTGCCGACTGGAATTCTTTCGAATGATTGACTTTCGGATAATCGACGCTCTACTGTATAAAATTCAAATGTAGCGTTAAATTTTACTTTATAGAAATGAATGAATTCTTTGATTTATGTTTTAGACATAATGATAATGCTATTTATTATAAAAATATTATCATAACAGCATAAACAGAACATAACAGCTATAAATGCAATTCTATAATATTCATTCATACAGTTAAGTTTAAATGATTCATATTTTAAAAATTTATAGTGAAATTTTTAGCTATGTGTTATATGATGTTACAACAATATTTCATTATGTATTTATTAAAATTTGTAATTTCGTTAATACAGAAAAAGTATTGCATAGTTTTCATATTGAAAGAAAAACTTGTTATAATTAGTTATTAACATAACAAAAATTAGAAAATCAAAAAAAGATTGTATTGAAGAGAAGAATAAATACAAATCATCAAGTTTTCAGATGTCAAAAAGTCTATATATTTTCTCTAAATGATCTTCCAGATTATATCAGGTTATAATATGGCTGCTATTTGATAATTGAATTTTAAGTAATTTTGTCTAGGGTTTTGTCTAGCAATGTCTGTAAAGTATGGCATCTCTAAGTAAAATTACTTAAGGTTTAATTATTAAATAGTAACCATATTAAAACTTGATTTAATCTGGCAGATCATTTGACCTTAATCAAAAATTGGGTTATTGGATGTTTACTAGGCTGCAATTTTCGAATTGCAGACCTATACATTACCACCATTATCTGTCCATCCATCTGTCCTTCAAGAGTGGAGTTAGATATGGAAAGCTTAGGGGCCAAAGACCCTGATTAACTATGTTCAAACTTCTGGTCTGGACCAGAAGTTACATGATTTTTAAAATTAAAAGATGATTAAAAATTGCAACTCAACATTGTAATGATTTCTCATATTTGTATATATCTTTTCTCTTTGTTTTTCTCATTAAGAGCATTTCTGTATTTAAAATCATACTAATTTCTTCCACTTTTTATTTTATAAGACCTTAAAGAAAACTATCATCATCATGAATTGATTTCAGCTTTTTTTTGTAAAGTAAATTAAGTTAATTCAACTTTTGAACTTGTGTTGATTTAGTACTAAATCTATATTTTCTATTTGTTTTTTTCACATCATAAAATTAAACTGACTCCAGAAATGTCATAAAATTGAAAATTATCCTTCTCTTTATAATTTTTTTTATTTTGTGTTGATTATTTATTTATTTGTGTATATTATATTTTATTTTAGTTCTACCAATATATTTATTCAATAGATTATTTCTAACTACAATAAAGATATCAATTCTTTGGATTATTTATAAGAAAGATTTGTCTTAATATTTATTTAAATGAAATTTAAATTTTGTAATCATTTGCTAAGTGATTGCAATTGACAAAATTTTGAAAATTATGGTTTGAGTATAAAGTAAAGAAGTGCTAACACCTATTAACTTTGAATAAATTTGTCTTTTTGTTTTTCAGTTTGGTATTACCATTTTTCATAAATATCTATTTCAATAAAAGATATAAAATTGAGGAAAGTGAAGGAAACACATTGAGAAAAAAGTTATGCACTGAGAAGAGGCATTGGAATATGATCAGTCATGGAGACATACAAGCATTGTATGCTACCTTGCAACTGCTGCTCTAGATCCCTCATACTCATACATGACCAAAGCAGACATCCTATCTGGGTCCCACAAATGATCAATGGGCAACAAGTCTGGATACTGGGCAAGTCAAGTCAGTGTAGCAATATGACAGAGACATCCCTGAGAGACAGTGTCTCTCAGGGATTATCTTGTTAGAAATAGCTGTTTGCAGCCCAGTCATGCCATACATAAGGTTACAAGCTTTCCTAAATGTACTGCTCCAAATGTCTCTTGAACCATTACTAAGAATACTGCCATATGAGATGGCTCCCCAGACCACTATGAGATAATATATCACTCAACAGTAAAGAAGGGATTGAAATGTTCACCAGTAGTCTTCCATACTCTAATATAATGGTTATCTGTTCCCAAACAGAACTGAGATTTGTTACTAAAAATAATACACTACCAGTTGGTAGCAGTCCATGCCTCTCTATCACAATACCATTGTATCATTGTAAATAAAGCCAATGACATTGGGAATGCTAATAGCAGGATGCTTTGTTGTTGCTATGCAAGCAAATTTATCCTTGCTGGTCACTTGCCAATAGTACAGAGAGAGAGAGGTACTGTAGTAAGGCTTTCACCTATCTCTGAATAGTGGACAAAGATGTATCACAGCTGTTTGTATTTGTCTCATGAGCAGATGATCATCTTTCCTAGCAACCTATCTGGGGCATCCAAAGTCTGTGTGTGATATATGTGTGCAGGTCCATTGCCCCAATATCGCCTCATAGTCCATATGGTGAACAATTCAAAAGACAATTCTATTTCCTTCAGCCTGACAATTTTGACTTTCTCAAATTCCATCAGCTATAGTGTAATTTCTTTTACTACATCTTACAGACATCTTACATACATGGCATTTGAAAATCTCAAACAGCATGTATAATGAAAATTCTGAAAACAATGAGCCTCTTCAAGCTTTTTTATAAAATACTAGGTTAGTTAATTTTATACGCACTAATGGCATTATTGAAGTGCAATCAGATCACAACTGTAATCATGTACATAGCTGTAGACAGATTTTTGCAGTAATCAAACAGTTCTAACTGGGTGCATAACTTTTCATATCAATATGTGTATAATGAGTTGATTAAAAATGAAGTTGAAAAATTATATGGAAAGAATTAGAGTAAAAACAAGAAATCATTGAATAAAAAGCATTAAGCAGGAATTAGGAAATACTTTGTTTTTAGAAAAATAGTAATTAACAAGATTAATGAAGAGAGAGTAATTAAACATAGAAAACTAAAAGCACCATAGTCTTTGAAAACATGTAAATGCAGCTGATGTTCATTGGGTAGAAAACTAAATCAAAAAGTAATGTTAACCTGTGTTTATTAGATTTTAATTGGAAATTGAAAAAGCTAACTGACATGTATTTTTTTAATTTTTATTTATATTGTTTATTTATTTATTAGCAATTATTAAAATATTAACAAATATTAAAATTTTTTCTACTTTTAATTCAGACCTATTAGTGATGTAAGTTTCAGTTTTATTTTATGCTAGTTTAATTGTAATTTTTAGATTTTAGTTAGTTTTAAAAAAAATTTACATCTGTTCTAAAAAGTTTCTATATAAAATTGCAATGAAATCAGCTTTGAAATTATTCCTCATTTAAATAGATATTTAGACTTTAATAAAGTTTGTGATCTCTTTCCATTGATCTGATGTCATGTACTTGGCTTTAGACACAAATTATAAAAATAGCATATGCTTTAATGTTCTTTACATAGTAAAATTAAGTAATAAATTAAGCCATGCATTATTTGAAGGTAGTTTGTATAAAATACTAATATGATTCACTTTGTATAATCAGCAGTGTGTAATTTTTTGAAACATTAATAATTTAAACATGGATAATAATAATCTGACCATTCATCAATGTGAAAAGCAAAATATTTTAAAATACACCTTTGCAATTTATAAATTATTTATACAAAAATATTTCCAAATATTTATATACTCATAGACAATTGATAAGCTTGTCAATTGATGTTTAATTTCAAAATAAGGCAACTGTTTTGAAATAGTTTTTACATTTAATTGAATAGATTACATTCAAAAAGAACCAATTCAGATTTAAAACTATTTGATCATTATAAAAAGCTATAGCGTAACTATTGAGTTGCAATATATCTATTAACAATTTATCATTTAACAAAAATAGTATATTCTCATTTTTTCACACAGAATTTTTTAAGGAAATTTTAATAGATGTTATTAATAATGTGACTAAAATTTAAAATGCATGTATCTAACATGTTTATTAATGTTAGATTAATATTGATAAGAATTCATAAAATGAAACTTAATGTATATTTTTCAATACAAAGTATTTTTCATTAAAAATAATTCTTAAATATGTAAATATTTGCTTAAATGAATTAAATACATGATTTAAATTTGTGATAAAATATGGGGTAATGTTGTTTTATGACAGATGATAAGTATCAATATGTTAGTTAAATGGGTAAACTGTTATCAATAGCATTATTTAATTTATCTGTTTATGTTTTAATTTATATATATACTAAAATATTTTATAGTCTATAATGCAATAGATTAGTATATATTGTATATTTACAAAATGCAAATTTTTATATTTGATTTATGAACATTATTAGACTTAAAATTACTAATCAATTCAGACTATTAAATAAGACAAAAAAAATAATAACAACCTTCTCGTCGCTCATTTTTAATTGCTTGCAATTTTTCAACGTTATGTGCATCACTCAACCACAATTGCATTCTGATGAAAGGTTCTCTTCCTTTGATGCTTAACATATGCCATGGTTTTGGCTTTGATAATAATTCACTTACTGAGCCTTGCGAAAGTCCAAGTACTGCCTCACCAAATATCTGAAAAAATATCAAATATTAAATTGTGAATAGAGTAAATTGATAATAAAATAAATTTTACTAATTGATGAGTTGATTAAATTTGTTTCTGAAGTTTTGTTAAATTAAATAATAAATTCTTAGTGAAAATATTTTGAAATTTTGAAATTAATATTTAAAAACAAAATCAAAAGGATGTCTTAATTATAAAATTTAAATACAACAAAGTCTATTTTTTAAATAATTAGCTTGTTTTTTTTTTTTCATTTGAATGTTTTCAAAATCAAAAATTCCATCTTTAGAAGAACATTCTGAAATTATATTCTTATTAGAGATATTTTATGAATATATGTCTTATTTAGTATTATATTGAAATTTTGTTCATTAAAAAATGTTCAAAATAATTTTTCCTCAAATTTTGAACAGAATATAAAGAACTGTCACAAATTAATTTTCAATTATATTTGGTTTATATAATGCATTATATTATAGAAAATTACTAAATTAAAAATTATTTTTATTAATAGAACAATTTGTATGTCAGATAAGGAAAATAGATAAAATTCTGAATTTTATATATAAACGTTGTATAAATATGATAGAAACATAACTTTTATGCATTAGTATTTTTATTATAGTTAAACATTATATTAATAATTTTTAAAATGATTTCTGTTAAAATATAAAACTTATTTTAATTTTTTAATCATTAACTATATTTTAAATTTAAACTATCATTTTATTTTTGTACAGTAATACCTCGACTTACGCAAACCCGGAGTTACGCGATTTTCAAATCTCGTTGATTCGTCTTTTGTTTGAGCGCCACGCAACTTTTGATTACTCACTCCCCCCACACTATTGTTCAGCTTACATGTTCAGACGTGTTGTGCGGAATTGACACATAGCTACAATTTATTTCTGTGTTTGTTATATCTACGAAGCTTTCAGAGACTCTATGTGGTGATTTCTTGTAACCGTGAACGAATCAAAAGAAGAGATAAGATTAACGAGAACATTTATTAGCTTACATACATCCGACTTGGATTTTACATGAATTGCGAAATTATACCCCGACTTACACGAATTCGACTTACGCGGTTATTGCTCGGTCCCACCTATCGCGTAAGTTCGGGGTATCACTGTATTTAAAAAAATGATAATAATTACTACTGCTTCAAAACTTATTTACTCATTATATAAATTTTAATATTTATTGTTAATGTTAATATTAATGTTTTCTATAATTCATCAGAGATTAATTATATGAATTCTTATATACTGTTTCAGTGTGACAAATTACTTATTAAAATTCAATTAATTTAAAAATTACATTCTAAAAATTTTATAGTATTAACATATCAATATATTATTTAACAAATTAAGTCATTGTACTTTATCATATTTGTTTTAATTCATTCTCTAAAAAATTTGGAAAATCATGAAAAATCTCATTAATATTATTTATAAAACAGAATTAGTAACAGATTAGGAAAGTTTATGAAATAAACTTTTCTAATCTGTTAGAAATTTCTAATATAATAGAATTTATTTCATAAATAACGTTTTTAACATTGTGAATTTTTTACCTATTTTTTACCTTTGTTTTAAGAAGTATATTCTTAAAAAAAAAAAACCATGTTAGCTGTTACTTCTGTGGTTGTATAAAAAGAATTAAAAGATAGACTTGAAAATGTGATATTTTTATAAATAGTCTAAACTTGAATTATTTATGAAATAAATTCTATTATATATCATTATAAAAAGAATTCTTTATGATTGTGAATAATAAAATACATTATGAATTTATTGCTTAATTCATTCAATGCAAAGATTTATCAGAATCCTAACAAATGTAATCAAATATCTTTTAAACAGTTTTAATGTTATTAAGATTTACTTTAAATAAAGTCAGTGTAAATATTATGACTTAATCTAAAAGAATGAGAAGATTTAAAATATATGTTAATTTTTTCTTTGTGTGATATGCTATAGAAATAGTTTCAAATTTGCAAGTCATTTAGGCTATTATTTTGTTTTATTATTTTACGATAAACTTTTCATCATTTGAATGTACAAATAGTGTCTATTTGTTTTGAATTTAACACTATTTAAATATTTTATCTACCAAGCAATACTGTTTAAACTTAAGAAAGTTCTAAAGTCAACTAAAACTAAATTATAAATGGATATACCTTTTGTCCAATGTTATGAGCCATCAAAGTTTCTTTAATTCTAGATGTAATTGCCTGAGTATCAAGATCAGTTGTAAGTGCTGCCATTTCATAGACAGATGGCTGAACATATGATGAATTTCGTGGACTATGTCCTCTCCTTGCATTATTCCCATTAGATGATGTAGATGCATTATTAGATGAATTATTGTTTGTTATTAATGGAAGGGCTGGTACATCTGATATGGAAGATAGGGCAGATTCTGAATGAGGTATAAATGTAGAATTGCTAGATAGTGAATGCCTACTTTCAGAAATCCTCTGAGTTAATAAATTTCCTTCTGAGGTAGGAGGTACAAGTTTGCTGGTTCCTGCATAAAATAAAAATTATAATTTGTATGAAATTAATATTTTATATATTTACTAAAATTACATAAAATAAATTATCAACAATATTATCATAATTGTTATTATAAAGTAATTTAATACTTTTATGAGATTTTTTAAATAATCAAAATAGATTTTTCATTTACAATTTATAAATTAATATATTTGAAAACAACAAATATTTATTCAAATAGTTTAATTATTTATTGTGTTATTTTTGGTAATAGCCTTTTGTTTGTTTAAATTTAATTTTGCACTTTTAAAAATAATTCAGTTAAGCTTATGTTATTTTTAAGCAAACTAAATGTTTTGTTAAAAATGTTATTTAATACATAAATGATTGACAATTTTATGATAGGATAAAAAATTATTCTAAAACATTCATGCACATATTATAGGTTAAAATAACAAGATTTTGTTTGACTAAAATATTCATTTAAGTTAAATCCATTAAAAATTACTGTATAAAAATATTAGTTTTCTTAATAATAATCAACGTATGCTATATTGTAAATTTAATAAGTACTATTGTCCTGATTTTCAACTAAAATAATCATTTTAATTGAAAATTTATTACAGATTATTTGTGATATTTAATACATTGTGATATTACATTTTCTTCAATAATAACAAATCAATATATTTCTTAAAAACAAAATGATTTTTATAACCTAGCTAGTATTCCTAATGTTTAATATTGTATATTGTATTACAAAATGAATATGAACTAATGTAATTTCATAAAAAATGCTATTAGAATTTACTGCTGTTTAATTGATGTAAGGAAGTTGTAATCTAATGAAAAAATAATGCAAAACATAGACATTGCTCTATTTATGTATTCATTTATATTTGTTTTTTTCTAATTATTCATAACAATATTCCTTATTTCAAAAATTTTGAAATAAACAATTGCTTAATTTGGATGAACTATAGAGGGTCATTAAAACAAAAAAAATTATCATAGGAATGAGTTATCACTATATTAATATATGATTGTTACAACAACCTATTGCTGAAATAATTTCTGAAATACATCCTTAAATTTGAAAATACTCTCTTAAAGGTATTTTTCGAATTTTTCCTGTTATTTTATCTTTCATAGTATTTTTATTGCTTATTCAGTTCTACTTAAGTTTCCTTTCAGTTGTGGCTATGTGCCATAATTGTATAGTCATAGTTTATATTTTTAAATATAATATTTCCTTTGTCTTCATATCTATTGTCTTTCTTTCTGGAACTTTCTCCTGACTTTTGTTTAACAGCGTAACAGCAGGTGACCCCTTAGTAACAATGGGAAGGTGTGTGACCCTCAGGGTATAACAGTGACCATGAGGTCATTCTTGGAGGTAGAATGAGAGAGAAAAGGACACACGAATAAAGCTCTTAGAGTTTTTTTTCTGGAACCACGTGGAGATGAAACGGACTTTTCGAGGGGAAAAGGAAATCGAGGATAGCGAAAACTGAGAAGGGTGTTTTCATTCGTTCCAGTGTGTATAGCGAAATAAAATTCCTTAGGAAAGTAATTTATATTCATCATGAATCGAGAAGTTCATCCCACTTACAAATATCACCATGAAAAATGCCAAAATCATTGGGTACCCGACTTTTCTCTCATCTTTATTTTTCATTTTCTTTCTTGCCTTAAATCTATATTTCATCTTTAGTAAATAATAATTAGCCGTAATTTTAGCCATAAGATATAATTTGTATTTTCTATTGGTAGACTAGTAATTTAAGTAAGGAAGAATTGTCGCAATTTATAACTTATGTTAAATGTTAGTTACTAAAATAGTGTAATAAGTTCAGGGATAGAGAGTGTAGCTGGCATCTGATTAATATTTCCTGTATTCCGTATGCGAATTAAAGACTCTTATATTATAAAAGTTGAGTTTCTTTGTCCACGGTATTCATGCACTTCACACAGTCAATATTTCATTGTAAGTGTCATTGTAAATCATTGTAATCATGACAATGTAAGAGTTATAATTTTTTAATAACTTTAGAAATATTTTTTTGTATATGTAAATGATATTTATGCAAAGAATATTTGAATAATTTTTTAATTTACTAGGAAATTATATATTTTTGACATAGTGTATAAATACACATGTATATGTATGCACAGACCAAAACACACACATATATTTAATCATATATGTAACCTTTCACTGATGATGTCTTTTAAATATTTTAAGTCTAGTTTTACAAAATATATTTTTATAGTAAAATTTTTGTAGCAATACAAGGAAACTATAATGTACTTTTCATTTTTAAACTTTAATTGAATATATTAAATTGAAATATAACAATAACAATATAATATTGGGTTGTTCGGAAAGTAATTTAATTTTTTCCATGAAAAAAAAACAATAATTTTATAATAAATAAATATTTTATTGAATTATATATTGACCATTTTAGTCAAATACCTGTTGTCATCGTTTCTGGTAGTAGCATGATTTCACATTCATAAAAGTTTTGATTGTTGCTTACAAAAAACTGATCCAAGTGATTTTTGACATTGTCATTTCAAGTAAATGTCTTACAGTTAAAAAAAAATTGTATAGACCGGAACAAGTAATAATCTCAGTGTGCTCAATCTGCAAATATGGTTGGTGTGATAGCACATCCCATCTAAGTTATAACAGTTTCTGATGAGTTACCAAACTTGTGTGAAATTTGATTATAATGGTAAAATACTACACCTGTTTTGTTGATCAATTCTGGCCGCCTTTTCTGTTTGATGATATTACTCAATTTGTTTACTCAATCGCAGTACACTTTCGAATCAATTGTTAAATTGTCTGGTAAAAGTTCCAAAAAAAAAAATTTTCTTAAAATCCCACCAAAGAGAGCATCTCTCTTTAAGAACATGTGGAATGCATATATCAAGTTTTGAAACAAAACCAATTTGTTTCAAGTAATCATAAACAGTTCAATTTGACAAATTTAATATCTTAGTGAATTCCACGTGTTGTTATTTGGCAGTTTGCTTCAATCAGTACCTTTATTTTGTTTTCATTGGCTTCAACTGGCCATCCAGAACGTGGTGCATCTTCAATATTGAAATTGCCAAAACGAAATTTTGTAAACCAGTTTTGGCACTGTCTTTCTCTCAACACATCATCTCCATATATGTACCACAATTTTTTTCTTGCTTGAACAGCCTTTTGATTTTTGGTAATAAAAAAGAAAAATATGCCGAAAATGATGCTTTTGAACTTCCATATTTGATGGGACACAAAAAATAAACAATTGCACAAAATCAAACAAAATTTTTTATAAATAAACCTTAAAATGCTAGCTGTCAAAATATATAATGATAATATGGTTTAGAATGAAAATGGCAGGAAAAATACGACTAATGTGTCTAGTAGTAAAAAAAAAATGAAATTACTTTCCAAACAACCCAATATAAAATTTACATAACAATTATCAAGTAACAAGAGTGATATTACAAAATCATCTTTTGTGTTGAAAATACAAAAAAGTCACAATAACAAATTTAAAATAGTTAAATTTTTAAATGTTTACTTCATTTTTGTGATTTCTAGAAATTTTAATATCTAAAAAATGTTTTTGTAAAATTACATTGTTAAAAATCTATGAAATTAATATCTAAAGATAACAATTTAAAATCTTATATCATGAGAAATGTTATTGAATTGCTGGATGGCTGAGATGGTTAAAATGTTAGCCTGCTGCTCTAGAGGACCCAGAATGAAAATCAAATGAGTAACCCTACAAATTTTATATGGGTGGTACATCTTGGATATGTTGAGAATCATTCCATATTGGGAATGAAAATTACTGTGATTGTTACATTCTACTAAATTAAAATAGTTTTAATATTGAATATTGCTCCTTTTTTGTAATGTGAACTATTTTTGAATTTGTTATTAAGTTAACTGATTATAAGCATTTGAAATATAAATTAAATAAATATTCTTACTAGTATCCAATATATATATTGGATACTATGGATAATTCCTTAGGAAAGTAATTTATATTCATCATGAATCGAGAAGTTCATCCCACTTACAAATATCACCATGAAAAATGCCAAAATCATTGGGTACCCGACTTNAGTCTAAACTTGAATTATTTATGAAATAAATTCTATTATATATCATTATAAAAAGAATTCTTTATGATTGTGAATAATAAAATACATTATGAATTTATTGCTTAATTCATTCAATGCAAAGATTTATCAGAATCCTAACAAATGTAATCAAATATCTTTTAAACAGTTTTAATGTTATTAAGATTTACTTTAAATAAAGTCAGTGTAAATATTATGACTTAATCTAAAAGAATGAGAAGATTTAAAATATATGTTAATTTTTTCTTTGTGTGATATGCTATAGAAATAGTTTCAAATTTGCAAGTCATTTAGGCTATTATTTTGTTTTATTATTTTACGATAAACTTTTCATCATTTGAATGTACAAATAGTGTCTATTTGTTTTGAATTTAACACTATTTAAATATTTTATCTACCAAGCAATACTGTTTAAACTTAAGAAAGTTCTAAAGTCAACTAAAACTAAATTATAAATGGATATACCTTTTGTCCAATGTTATGAGCCATCAAAGTTTCTTTAATTCTAGATGTAATTGCCTGAGTATCAAGATCAGTTGTAAGTGCTGCCATTTCATAGACAGATGGCTGAACATATGATGAATTTCGTGGACTATGTCCTCTCCTTGCATTATTCCCATTAGATGATGTAGATGCATTATTAGATGAATTATTGTTTGTTATTAATGGAAGGGCTGGTACATCTGATATGGAAGATAGGGCAGATTCTGAATGAGGTATAAATGTAGAATTGCTAGATAGTGAATGCCTACTTTCAGAAATCCTCTGAGTTAATAAATTTCCTTCTGAGGTAGGAGGTACAAGTTTGCTGGTTCCTGCATAACGTCGCTCATTTTTAATTGCTTGCAATTTTTCAACGTTATGTGCATCACTCAACCACAATTGCATTCTGATGAAAGGTTCTCTTCCTTTGATGCTTAACATATGCCATGGTTTTGGCTTTGATAATAATTCACTTACTGAGCCTTGCGAAAGTCCAAGTACTGCCTCACCAAATATCTGAAAAAATATCAAATATTAAATTGTGAATAGAGTAAATTGATAATAAAATAAATTTTACTAATTGATGAGTTGATTAAATTTGTTTCTGANAAATAGTAATGCAGTTAGAGATATAATGATATTATATAAAGTTTATATAATAAACTTTTTCAATTTAAATGTACAGGGGAGTACAAAAGTAAATATACAGTTGTGAATCTGAGAAATATACGTATTTAGTATTCATTATTATTGTTATTTTGTATTCCTTATTAACGTGATTTAATTTATGCATAAAAATAAAAATTTTTTTCTTCTATGCTTTTTCCACAATAACAACTGTATACCTACTTTTGCATCTCTCTGTATTCTAACAACAGAATTAAAAATATTCCAAAAATGTTTAATAATGAAGTCTAAGACACAACTGTAAATCTGATTTATCTCTTACATTACAGACAGAAACAGCATTGATTATAGTTGAATTTCTTATAATTTGTTATTGTCTACTCAATAGTTTTTGAAAGTTATTGGGTTTCATACAGTTATCACAACCATTACTATAAATTTCAACTTAAAATTATATTATTATTAAAGTTTTCATATTTTTACCTGGTGAAGTAGTAGTTCCTCCATATCCTCCAGTCCTCATTAATTTTTCTGGAGCGATTTTGTACTGGGAGGCAACAAGTTTATGTACAGCATTGTCATCTTCTAAGAATATTTTCATACGAATGAAAGGCTCACGTCCTTTTTGTGTCAGCATATGCCAAGGTTTTGGACGGGCCAAGAGATCTGAGACAGATCCCTGTGATAAACCTAGGACATTCTCCCCAAATAACCGCTGACTAATGGAATATTGACTAAGTTGTTCTTTTACCTAAATAAAACAAAGCATCATATTAGAAACTATTTTAACATAGTTGTATATTCCTTTAAAAGCATTTTTATGCATATATATCTTTGTGATAAAATAATGCAATCATTTATTTAAAATTTTTATTTTGAAAAATAAAAATTTTGATTATTTGGAATAAAATAAAACATGTTAATTTGAAAATTTCATTTTATTATCAATATTTCTTAAAACTATAACTGTTATAATTTAAAAATAGATAAAGTTACAATTGTAAGATATCTTAAAATTATAATTAAATTTTAAAACTACACATCTAATGAGCTTATTTAATTAAATTACACAACAAAAATAGTAAATTTTTCCAAAGTTATGGTACGTTTATAGAATTTTATATGATAATTTAAAATACTTAAAAGGATAATAGTGTAAGTAAATGAAGCAATCAACATAATACTGTTTTAAATATTTTATGTACAAGTATTTCACAAATGTTTTCGTTTGTTTTATACAGGTTTCTTCAGACAAAATAAATTAAAACAGAATCTAATTTATACGACTAAGTTATTTGAAAAGTTTTAAAAATTCATTAAAATAAACTAATTTAATAAATAAATACAGTGTTAAAAAATACTGTTAAATTTTCAACTATTAAAGTTTGAGTTAAGTTACATAATTTAATTTTCAAGTAAAGAGAGAAATTAAACATTCCTACATGGTTTCATTTTTTTAAGTAGCAATGAATTTTATTTTTATAAAAGATAAGATTCTTTAAAGTTTACACTACTATTAACAAATTAATTCTTTATGCATGTATATAAATATTTTATGAATTATAAAAGTAATACAAATTTAATTAAGTAATAATATTTTTATATTTTCATAAACTCTAGGCCAATGTAAAGGTAAGCTATTAAAAAAAAAATCTAGTCAAACTCAAAATTAATATATTTTCACAGATCATTGCAGGTGTACGATATTACATTTTAGTTATCATATGCAAAGTGTCTTCAATTACAATAAATTCTTAAATTATTTGAATGATATATACAAAACTAAATACTGTCTAAAATGTCAGAAGAGTTTCTAGATTCAGAGCTTGTTTTTTTCTTTTTTAAATCTAAGTCAATAAAATGTAAAATTTATTTTTGAGCTTTTTATATTCATTTTGGTAGAATTAGAGAAGAGTTAGATGTATAGCTTATTTTCATTGAAATCAAATTATAACTAGAATCAAATTATGAAATTGCTTAGGTATTTTTGATTTTTCACAGAATTAATCTATATTAAAAATTAAAAAAAAATAAAAACAAATTTAAGTTATTTTTATATATTTTCTTATTTAGAAGATGTAAATAAATGTTTTTAAAATTTTTTATATTGTTTTAACAAAATTTCTAGAACAATATTTGATTTGTATTATAGAAACAGTTCCAAAAACTGAAATTTTGGTTTATTATTTCTTCAACTAATTAACATAGTTATTAATAACCAATTTATTATTTTGAATCAGCATCATTTTTGTTATCATGAATAATTTGATTAAAAAAGGAATTGAAATAATTTTATGAGATATGGATCCTGAATGATATGAAGATCTCTTGATTTAATGAACACTGATGTGATGAATTTTGGAATCAATGGGTCAAATCTATTGGTTCTGAGCTGTCCATCTGGAAATTGGAAATGAAATACTTGAGAATATCAGACTACAGCTGTTAGTGTACAGAATATCCATTAGATAGTGCATTAGCAACTATTGTTTATATCCTGCTTGAAAGCAATGTAGTTTTTACTGTTGTAACTATGAGGGTAGTATAGACCCTCCTATTGTATATCTCTTACAAAGTGAATTTTCTAGTTGACCATGGCTTTAGATAACAGACAAAAAGCATTATTAGTATTTCATATTTATAATAAAGAAAAAATATCCACTTTATATCTAATTAACAAATATACAACCTGAGAGTAAATAGTCCATAAAAGTTTTAAAATAAAAGAGCCTCATTTTATTTTTGTTTAACAGTTTAATACATGTTTTTGATCAAAAGGACTAAAAAAAAAATAATAGTAATGAAACTAACTTGTATTAGTAATCAAATGGAAGCAAACAATGAACATATTAATAATGTATGAACAGATAAATTATGATAAATTCTTCTCTTCCATAATATTACTATTACCACATATATGTAATTAAAACATTGTATAAAAATTTAAATTACTTTTTGTTATGAGCAAACTTAATTGATTATACATTATGTTCATTTGAGAGTTTGTTAAATTTAATAAATTCAAAAAATTATAATTCTGTTACTTTAAATCAATAGTTATTCAAAACTTTAGTAGTATATTAAATTTATTAGTATAATCTTGCTTTCATTTTTATTTTAATTTAAAACATATAATCATTAAATTACTTAGATTTATTGTTTTATATTACAAAATTATTAAATGAATATTACAATTACAATTATTAAAATGTAACTTCCAAAGTTAATTGGCATTATTTATTAATTTTAATATTTTTTTGTTTAACAACATTACTAAATGCTTTTAATCAAAATATGACAAGTTGTTTAAAACATTTTTTTAAATAAAGTTCATTTCATTTTGATTTATTCAGTTTGCATTAATTTAGTTCTAGCTGATTAAATCAAAAAAGTTGTAGCATTAATAAAAAATTTAATGACTAGTATCATATTATCAGATTACCATAGACAATTTTTTTGTGACTAATACAATCTTTAATGTTGTTAAATATGTAATCAATGTGTAATCATTCAATTTGAGTTAATAATATAACAGCATATTAAGTTTAGATTCAGAAAGAATATTTGAAATAGAAACATCCAAATTAATAATAATTACAAATAATAACATAAATATATTATAAGGAATTAAATTATTTAAAAAAAGTAAAATTTATGAATTATTAATTAAAGTTATGCTGCATACTTATTTTTTTAATAGTTTCATAAAACTGATTTAACACTGTTGACATTGTTTTCTTTACAAGTGGTAAAAATTATTCTCAAAATAGTTCTAATTAATTATATTTCTCTATTATTAGTATTAAGTTTAGGAAATTTTTGAGAAGCGATTAAAATTTGAAAAAATTTTAGTTTAATTATGTAATAATAATACTATAATTTTTTTTCTAGGTTATGAAATCTGTGCTTTGATTTTATTTAAGTTACTAATTGGTTCAGACGTATGTTACAATCTCTCCTGGAAAAAGAGGAAGTGCTCCTTTAAACAAGAATAAGATTAACTCAGAGAGAAGCGACTTCAGAGTCACAATCTAAGACTAACGGTCTATGTGTCAATGTTAAAGAAAGGAATTTCTAACTCGAATAAATCTCCAAGTGAATCAAATTCCCCTATTTCATCGAACTTGACAAATGCAGTTGAAATGACAGGTAAAAAGATCAGTTGAACTAGATGGAAGTAAAATTGTAGGTTTAAAAGAGAAAATAGATACATTAAAAAATGAGAAAGTGTTACTGTGATATAAATTTAACTTGTTAATTAATTAAATGAATAAAAATAATTTAATATTACATCTCTATCCAAATACAAAAATACTTCTCTACAGAATAAATAATTAATTTTCTAAACAATGTTTAAACTTAATACAGCTAAAGAATACTGATATAGTGGAACTGGTATAATTAAAAAATAATTCTTGGCATACTATTTATTTTACATTGGTCAATGTACAAATAAGAAATCAAATTATTAATTCATTCTATGAATCAAAATGGAAAAATCATCATAAATGGGTTACACAAATATCTTCTGATCTTACAAAGGAATCTAGAGAAAGGAAAAAATTAATTCCTATTTATATAAAAATGAAGAAACAAAAAGCACGATGACTACATTTTATCTAATAATAATAAATTTACATATTGTTTTAAAAAGCAACAAATACTTAACATAGATAATTTTTTATAGATTATTCTGGTAATATCAAAGAAGCATTAAAAGATATGCATAAATGTAAACAAGCTGAGAGTCATTTCTAATTATAGTAAGACAACAGATGCAATATGTTATAATACTAAACTGGAATTGTCAGAGATTGAGATTAAAATTTGCTTCACTCCAATTCTTTATGAGTTAATTCCCACCAGATAATTTTGGGGGAAATTACAGAAACATAGCTAATAGATTTAATGAAAAATAATAAAAAAAGCTTAGAAAGATATTGGATTATAATGGAACCAGCTGGCAAATCATTCTCAAGGAGGTATTTGTCTTTTCATTAAAAAAATATTAGAGGAAATAGATCAACAAAAGAAAAAAAATTTTTATGTATTGGTACAAATCAAAATTAATACAATATATAATAATACTGTAATAGTTAATAATTTTTGAAATAATTTTATATTATTTTTATGAATATTCTGTATGATACATATTTATTCAACATAATAATCTGAAATGTTAATATTCTGTGAATCAAAATTAATGAAGATAATCAGTAACAATTAAGAAGCAAGGTTTCCTTTTGTATTGTTTTCATATGTACACAAAGTGTTTTTATAAAAAAAATTATCAGACGTTTTTCTTATATAGAATTTTAGAGAGTGTTTTCATCTGGAACTTATTATAACCAGATTAAATCAAAATGTCTTACAATATGAGCATTTTTTGATTTAATCCAGGATCTAACAGAACTTATTTATTGTTCTTTTTATCATTTAAATATTTATACTTTTCTCAAATAAATGAATATTTAATGGAATATTTAACATTATTATTTTATGCAATCAATAAAAATAAATCAAATGTAAAAGGATAGATATAACATTATATTTAGATTTTCTATAATATATTAATCTGCTTGATTTAACATTTCTACAAAGTGAGTTGAAAGTAATTATTTTTTGTATTATATATTTATATAGGTAAAATAGTATTAACCTGCACTGAAAATATTAGCAAATCACATTGAGAATTTCAGCTAGCTTCATAAAAGCTGATTAATTTTTTAACAAAGTTCATAAATTTATTCC